TATATATATATATATTAATTATTTATCTTTCATTTATTAAAATATTTGCAAAAAGAAAAAGATAATTAACGGCGACTCATTTAGAATCAATTTTTTCTTCTATTATTTTATCGTTATTATTTTAAGTTTGCATACATTAATAAAAATAATAAGTGATTGTATGTTGTTTTATAATTAGTATTAGATTCTACACATTGAGAATAAATGATGTTTGGATGTCGAAATAATTATTGAGTGTAGTTTCAAATATTACAAAAGCTCAATAGATAAAATTTAGTTGATTTCAAAATTCCAGATACTAAAAAATTAATATGAAAGATATTACTATGAATGTGTTACACACTTCAAATAAGTAAATAATTTATTTAATATTTAAAATATTATAATTTTGTATATAGCTATAATAAAGAGTTATTTAATAACTAAAATTTTAGTTGATTTAAAAGTTTTAAGTATTAAATTATAACTTTATCCGATAATTAAGTTAAGAGTATTTTACTTTGTTTTCCAACTACACTGAATTGTACACTATTTATTTTTCATTATTTTTTTGTATAGTTGTCAAGTATTATTTCAAAAATTCGATTTTAAGTTTTTCATAGTACTCATGATTTTTAGATGGTTAGAAAGGGCTAAAGTTATAGATAACAAAAAAAACTACAATTAATAACATAAGTATATTTTCAAGTAAATAATAATATAAATTGATGTATATAGAGTAGTTTAAATATTTTATTGGAAGAAAAGTGTGTACTACATTGAATGGAGCTTTGCACGTTCCTAAAATATTCTATGCACGTAGAATAAGAAGAAGAAAATTATAAACTAATTGTTTGATTTTTAAATGGTAAACTTAATTTATTTTGATGTCCTAAATATTATGATTTTTTGTGTAAGGAAAACTTTAATAAGTAAAGTTTTAATTGACTTCAAAATAGTAAGTATTATGGGAATAATTAATGACTATTTTGTCTAGTGCGAACTCTATTTTAAAGGGATAAAAAAGACGACCGGCATTTCGCTAAGGGCCTTCATGCTTTTAATATAGTATAGATATAGATATAAATTTGTTTCATTGAATTCTTATTACTTTTTCGTGTTGACCGTGATACACCCGAGATTACAAACAAGAAATTAATAAGAAAACCCAATCTTCTAAGGTGTTAAAAGAGAAGATCTCCTGAACAAAGACCGAAAAGAGAAGAGACGAATTCAGTGAAGAAGAAGAAGGGAAAGAGATTCCATTTCATCATATGAATGTGTACATTTGAATTCCCTATCTATTTCCAACTAATCACTGTAAAAATCCCTAAGGACCTCCCTAATTCTGTTAACGACCTCCGCCCTTTTTAACCGTCTAACTAACACCTTCAAACGACGCCGTAAGACACTTTTCATTAGCTACGAACTCACTTATCTAAACGACAACATTTTATTTATTTTCCCTTATTCTCTTATCACTAAACCAAACGACACAATATAGCTACTATTTACATTTCAGAGTATATCAGACTGATTAAAATTAGTTTGTAAACTATCATAACCAATATTTACTATTCACATCATTAGCCTGGAAACACTAACATATGAGATGAGTGCAGATGTTTGCAATTAATATGGGATGGACGCATAATTGATTATTTGATTAATAGCTTGATCAATCTGACTCTAAAAGAGCGGAAAGTATCAGACAATTAGGACAGTTGAAAGAATCAAAAAAATTATTTGATAAGCAGCCAAGAATGAGAGGAAAAATTTATGAATGCCCTATCATGTATGTGATACGGTAGTTAAATAATTGGGCATTTTATTGAGTGATAGTAAGCTTCTTCAGTAAATAAGCATAAATGGTTCTAAGCTTAACAAGATACAGACCTAGGTCTGTGCTTAATTACTTAAGCTCAGATTGGCCTCACTTGTGCACTGCCTAATCCCAAATCATTGCTTAACTAACATGTAAAACAGCCAACTTCTGATCTTACTTACCCCTTCCTTGTACTGTGATCGATTTATTACTGCAATTACCCTTTGTTGGCTATATTTTAAAAAAAAATATTGGCTGAAGCATATATGTGCTAATTCTATCATTACCTGTTTGTCTTGAAAATTGATTAAGGCTGCTGAGGTTGCCGATCAAGTCAATCAGTGGGCTAAAATGGAGACAAATGGTCTTATCAAAGAGATTCTTCCTCGCGATGCAGTGAACAACATGACAAGGCTGATCTTGTCCAATGCACTATATTTCAAAGGAGAATGGAATGAGAAGTTCGATGTGTCAGAAACGAAAGATCATGACTTCCATCTCCTCAATGGAGGGTCTATTCAAGCACCATTTATGACTAGCAAGAAGAAGCAGTACATAGCAGCGTTTGATTGCTTTAAAATATTGAGGCTTCCTTATAAACAAGGCACGGATACGCGTCGCTTCTGTATGTATTTCATTCTCCCAGATGCCCATGATGGATTACCTGCTTTACTGGAAAAAATCAGCTTAGAACCAGGATTTTTAAATAACCATGTTCCATATGGAAAAGTTAGAGCGCGCAAGTTTCTTATCCCTAAATTTAAAATAACTTTTGGATTTGAAGCTTCCAACATTCTAAAGGGACTCGGCCTCACGTTGCCTTTTTGTGGTGGTAGCCTCACTGAGATGGTTGATTCTCCTATGCCTCAGAACCTGTCTGTTTCACAGGTTTTTCACAAGTCTTTCATTGAGGTAAATGAGGAAGGAACCGAAGCTGCAGCTGTTACCGCTACTGTAATAATGACCATGTCCTTGATTATTGAGAAGGAAATGGATTTTGTTGCGGACCATCCATTCCTATTCCTTATAAGAGACGAATCTACTGGTGCGGTGTTATTCATTGGCAGTGTGATGAATCCTCTAGCTGGTTAACCTACGTGAAATGTCTGAATTCAAATTATAGCATGGACGATAGAAAGCTTTATATTAGCATTGAGAGGAGTGTTATATTTGCAGAGAATGATATATTTATCATCTATTAGGACTAAGTTGAGTGGTGCTACATATTTTCCGGAAACAGCCTCTGCCTTCTTGAAGGTATGATCCTCCCCAGACCCCAGTTGTAGGATTACACTTTTTTTATTTGTTGTCATTGTTGTTGTTGTACCCTTATGATGAAACCTTAATTCATATATCTCTGGCATCTTATATAATTTTATTTGTGCTTTATATCAAAGAAAATCTAATTATGATCGAATACTATTAACACAAACCTAATTAAAGCAGGCTAGCAACTTCTATGTCAAGAATCCGATTATATCAAAAGACATAAAAAAGAAAAACTCGAGCAATCTCCAAGTTTTTACTCACCAAGTATATAGTATTTTTGACAATATGGATTTCTATAGATCAATCTTAAAGCAAACGGATGTTTCTTTAATGCTTGCAAAACATGTATTCTTCAGCAAACTTCGTCAGCCCAATGCCAACATAGTATTATCCCCACTCTCTATTCAAAAAGTTCTTGGTATGATTGCTGCTGGCTCAAAAGGTCGTTCATTGGACCAACTGTTGTCTTTTCTCAAGTTCAACTCCATTGAAGAACTTAACTATGTTTCTTCTCGGGTCATCACTGATGTCTTTGCCGATGGCAGCCCCTATGGAGGTCCTCGTTTGTCCATTGCTCATGGCGTTTGGATTGACAAAACTCTCTCTTTTAAGCCTTCTTTCAAACAGATTATGGACAATGTTTATAAGGCTGGTTGCAGTTCTGTTGATTTTCTGCACAAGGTTGTTGTGATTCTCGGATCAATATGAAGATTATTTGGGAGGAAAAACAACTCTATTTCACAATAATAAAATTACAGAGAATTTACACCAAGAATTTCTCTCTACAAAAAAACCTCACCAAACTCTCTTTTGTTCTCACAATCTCTTCCTGGATTGTATTTCAATCTCTCTGGATTGATATTTCTGTGTAAAACATAAGGCTCTATTTATAGCCTTAAAGAAGGTGGTTGGTGGTTGAATTCTTCATTCAACAATGGAGGCTTCAACAATGGTGGCTTCTAGAATGGGTTGGTGGCTTCAACAATGGTGGGCTTCTAGAATTGGTAGTTGGCAGCAGCTGAACTTATCAATTCTCCCCCTTCAGCTGCATTCCAACGCAGCTACTATTTGAAAGTTATTCCAACTATGTCTCTGCACAGCTCTAACTTTTCTTGAGTGACCACCTTTGTTAACATGTCTGCTGGATTCTCCTTCGTATGGATCTTCACTAGTTTCAACAGTTGTTGATCCATCACCTCGTGTATCCAGTGATAGCGAATGTCGACGTGCTTTGTCCGAAAATGATACATTGAGTTTTTGCTTAAATCAATTGCACTTTGACTATCACAATGTATCTTATACTCTGTTTGATTTATCCCTAGTTCTTGGAGAAACCGCTTTAGCCACAACATTTCTTTTCCAGCTTCCGCTACAGCAATATATTCTGCTTCAGTTGTGGATAGTGCAACACATTTCTGCAATCTTGACTGCCATGACACAACTCCCCCTACAAAAGTATAAACATATCCTGAGGTTGATTTTCTTCCATCAGGATCTCCGGCCATATCTGAATCTGTATAGCCTTCCAAGACTGGATCAGCTCCCCCAAAGCACAGACTTGATTTTGAAGTACCTTTAAGATACCTGAAAATCCACTTAACTGCCTCCCAATGTTTCTTTCCAGGGTTAGAAAGAAAACGACTTACCACACCTACCGCATGTGCGATATCTGGCCTCGTGCAAACCATGGCATACATCAGGCTTCCAACTGCTGAAGAATATGGAATTGTAGACATCTCCTCAATCTCTTTCTTGGATGAGGGGCACAAACTCTTGCTCAACTTGAAGTGATTTGCCAAAGGGACACCTACCGGTTTGGCATTACTCATATTGAACCGTTTGATCACCCGTTCAATATAATTTTCTTGAGATAGCCATAACTTCTTGTTTCTCCTATCTCGAGTTATCTGCAATCCCAAAATATGCTGAGCTGGACCTAAGTCTTTCATTTCAAAGGACTTAGAGAGTTCTTTCTTCAACTGTCTAATTTTTGTTGCATCTTGTCCGACGATCAACATGTCGTCTACATAAAGTAGAAGTACAACAAAATTGCCATCCGAAAATCTCTGAATGTAAACACACTGATCTGCAACAGTCCTTTTATATCCTTGACTTACCATAAATGAGTCAAACTTTTTGTACCACTGCCTTGGTGCTTGCTTTAGGCCATATAAACTTTTCGTAAGCTTATAAACGAGGTTTTCTTTTCCTGAAATCTCAAAACCTTCCGACTGCTCCATATAGATTTCTTCTTTTAGATCACCATGAAGAAATGCTGTCTTGACATCTGTCACACCTCCTTTTTCCGTCCCCGCAAGGGGTGAAGGAGTTTTTCCAATTAAAGGACAAT